TTTGAATGTAAAGAATTTTTATATGGGAGAAAAATAAAAACAATATAACTAATAAAATTATTTCTCTTAATTAATTTATTGATAATGAATAATTTTTTTTAATAAAGACATTGTAGGGACAATGTAGCGAATATAATCAATTGATGAATTTGAATTTTGAATATAAAGAATTTTTATATTGGAGAAAAATAAAGACAATATAACTAATGAAATTATTTCTCTTATTTAATTTATTGATAATGAATAATTTTTTTTGAATAAAGACATTGTAGACACATAATTCTAAATTAAAGAAATGCATATGTATTATTTTTTGTTGTAGCTACTAAATTATTATTTAATTTAATAAGAGTAAAATAGAGTACTAATTATGCCAACTTTGATTGGGATGTGGTTCGAACCTAAAACATTTCTTATCTTATTGAAATCAATGAGTAAGTTAACGGTGAACTAACAGAAATTAACGGAAAAGATAATATTTAACGGAAAAGTTAACGAATAATCATATTCATTAAGAATAAATTACGAAATTTAAAGAAAAAAATTAAAATCTGTTCAATCTGAGCCATTCATTTGATTAAAAAATTTGACCGCCATTTTTTCTACCCATTATAGGCCTAACTCTCTTGGGCTCTTATTAGTATAGTAGAAGTAGATATAGATATATATAGTAGATAGATTATTTAATTTAATAAGAGTAAAATAGAGTACTAATTATGCCAACTTTGATTGGGATGAGGTTCGAAACTAAGACCTTCCTTATTGAAATCAATGAGTAAGTTAACAGTAAACTAACAGAAATTAATGAAAAAGATAATATTTAACGGAAATGTTAACGGATAATCATATTTATTAAGGATAAATTAGGAAATCTTAAGGAAAAAATTAAAATCTGATCAATCTGAGCCATTCATTTGATTAAAATATTTGACCGCCATTTTTTCTACCTATTATAGGCCTAACTCTCTTGGGCTCTTATTAGTATAGTAGATTTTAATCGAGTTAATTCCACTTTTGGTCCTATATTTATTGGACATTGGACACATTTTGACCGATTTAATTAATTTAGCCACATTGAACCCAGACTTTTTAAAAGGTGGACAATTTAGGTCCATCGTTATATCTGCTGTTAGAGTGTCGTGAAGTATGAGGGCAATTACGTCCTTTCAATTGCTTTTGATCCACAGCCTTCATTTGTTGTAGCTTTCATTATGATCCGACAGCGTATTTGTATTTGGTTTTTTGTTTTTACCAGAAATCTGGGAATATGGGAAGGAGTTCATGGATGAGACACGTTGACGAGGAAGACGGAGATGGGGAAAGGTATAATCCAGCTGGGTGCATGTGGAAGCGATTCATATATGCTCTAGACTACCATCACTGGCACTATAATAATGCTAGGAAGAAGCTTCTGCACAGAGTGATAAATGATAAGAGTAAGCATCTCAGCTCTCAAATACCCAATTAATTAACTGTTTATTGTTTATGATTTGTAATCCTGGAACAATTTGGTGTTCTGCAGACAAGACCAAATCGATTCACAATGATACTGGAGAAGCACAGAGACTTTTGGAGGATGAAGGCTGTGGATCAAAAGCAATTGAAAGGACGTAATTGCCATCATACTTCACGGCACTTTAACAGCAGATGTAACGATGGACTTAAATTGTCCACTTTTTGAAAAGTCTGGGTTCAATGTGGCTAAATTAATTAAACCGGTCAAAATGTGTCCAATGCCCAATAAATATAGGACCAAAAGTGGAATTAACTCATTTTAATCTCATCTCCATTCTTCCAATTTCTATACAATTTTGGAGAAAGGAAAATACACATTCTCCAAGTGGAGAGATGGAAACGTGTGAACATTGCTCAAGCTTAGGTCTCAGTTTTGAATCCTGTGCACAGCATGTTTTTAAACTCAAAGCTATCTTCTTTCTCTTCCGCTTTTGTTTCTTTCCCTGTGCGAGCCCTTTTATTATTATTATTATTATTATTATTATTATTATTATTATTATTATTATTATTATTATCTCTTTTCTTTTTCATTTTCCTCCTACTTATATACACAAATTTTTTGTTGTTATTATTAAATTATTATTATCATTATTACTATTATTATTATTAAATTATTGTTATTATCATTATTACTATTATTATTATTATTATTATTATTATTATTATTATCTTTGTTGTAGAAATATACAAATACTATATGGGATGATTGTTTTTAATAGAATAGAAAATTAGAAAAATAAAAAATTGGGGGAATGGAGAAATGGAAAACTGGAAGAATAGAGAAGGAAAACTGGAGAAATGGAAGAATGGAAAACTGAAAATGAAAAAAACAGAGAAATGAAGTAAACGATCCCTAAACTTTTGTTTCCATCAGTAATAATTTCCAGACGGCTATCCCAAGCCCCAAAATTAAACAACGCAAAATCTTTAGTGTTTTCAGATTCTTTGACCTAGCGATTAACAACCCAAATCGCTAGCCGTAGTAAATGTACTTCAGAGAAATGGATTTCACCGACGAACTCGCGGCTCCCGCGCAGACCAGGTTAGGAACCACACAGCCGTCATTGGCAGTGGTGACGCAGATAGACCTAACCGACAGCTGAACCGAACGTGACAACTGACCATATCGCATGAAAATTTCCTCAGCCGCTCGCAACTGTGCGCCAGCGCCGCCAGCCGGACGCCGGTCACGCCGTGGCAGCGGCGAACTTTCAGGCGCGTGATGTTGCGGCAATGGGGGACTATGCGAAGCAGAGGATCATCTCTCACCCTCTGCTGGTTGGGTCCTTCGTTGGTTATGGAAGTTCACAACCTTCGATTGGATTACAACTATGGAAAATTAGGATTTTTCACCTTCTAATTGTTAAGTTAATTTGGAGAAAAAATCATAGCGCTTGTGATTGATAACAATAAACAACATAAATTGTCAGTTTTGTCCTCTATTTTAACGCCATCTTGATACCAATACTAACGGAGGACCAATATGACCTAAATTTTAATAGTCGAAAGGCCAGTTTAGGTGCATTAAAAGTAAAAGAACCAATTTGAAAAAATGTTATAATCTGAGAATCATTTTGAGAATTAACGCTTATTATTATCATTATTATATATTATTATTGAAATAAAAAATAAAAAAAAATATAGTGGATGCATGTACATGATAACAATAGTGAAAAATAGAATTAATTTCACTTTTGGTCCCACGACTTTAGAGGATCTATCACTTTTGGTGCACAATTTTAAAAATTTTTAATTTTGGTGCCTAACTTTGTTGTTTTTATCAATTTTGGTCCTTTCAACCAAATTGACGACGAAATATTGCCGGATTTTATATTTTTAGGGGTAAAATCGTCATCCCAATGAAACATCTTCAATATCTAAACAAAATCACTCTAAAATCATATCTATAAGTGTTTGATCGATGAGAATAATTGGGAAGACGGACAAAAACTAGACACAGATCTATGAGATTTATAGCATCGACGATTGCCAAACTCTTATATTTCTCTTAACATGATTTTTCTTTTGTTTAGATATTGAATATCTTTTCTTGGGATGACGATTTTGCCCCTAAAATGTAAAATCCAGCAATATTTCACAGTCAATTTGGTCGAAAGGACCAAAATTGATAAAAATAACAAAGTTAGACACCAAAATTGAAAAAATTTAAAGTTGTGCACCAAAAATGATAGAAACTCTAAAGTCGTGGGACCAAAAGTGAAATTAGTTCGTGAAAAATATAACAAATGTAGCGGGTATAGAGTACTGTAAATATTCTATTTAATTCTTGGTCAATAAACGTGTTAAACAATCTAAGTTGGAGGGGACACCAATCAATACAATCTAGACAGCCATCTACTCTAACAATCCACTAAATCCAGCATGAAGACTACTCCAAACCATCTGCGAGGTTTTTGATTTTGTTTGTTTTTTTTTTTTTTTTTTTTCATTTTCTTTTTTTCAACTCAAACATGACTTTGAAAGGAAGAAGAGGCTAAAACGTATGGAAGAAGTTAAAGCCATTGCATATGCTTGACTTCATCAAAAGTAAGTTCTTGAGTATTCATAAATTAATAAAGATTTTAACAAATAATCAAATAAAAAAATTCATTAGATTTTTTGAATGCGAATTGTAGTATCTGTTCTCGAACTCACAACCTTCCAAATGAAAATCCAACCCGGATACCATTAGACCACATAGTCTTGGTAAAAAAAAAAAATCATTAGATAATTACATGTAAAGTGTTAAAGTTATAAAGTAAGTTTTTTAATAGTATTGACTTTGTTATCGTGTAGAATCTGTGCATACATATTTTCCCAACTTATTGAAGCAAGGTTTGAATATGTGACCTCTCATTTGTAAGAGATACAGTTATGTCGTTTGATCACAATACTACTAAAAAGTGTTTAGTACGAGTCCCTAAAGAATTTAAAGCTAAAAATGGATGATATAATGTTATCCAACACATCGATTTGGAATTGGCATTTATTAATGGAAATTATAATGCCAACTGCAAACTGCAAAGTTTTTCTGTTCCCTTTCAAACGTCACTTTAATTCAGTCCTTTTTTCCACGTATTAATAATTCTCAGTCAATAAACGTGTTCAAAGAGAGTGACTAATCTCAAACTTTCTTGGATAGTGGATGGAAGTGGCGGGTATTGGAAAACTTAAATGAATATAATTTATCTCTCCGATTCATGTATATTTTGTTAAATTTCATTGATACTTGAAGACATGTTAACAGGTTTTGATAAGCTATCAATGCTTCACAATTTGGAAAGGATTGATCTAAGCTATAATCAGTTGAATCGTAGTATATTGTCTTCTCTCAGTCATCTTTCATCTCTTTAAGGATCTCACATTAGTATCAAACCCGTTCAATTCACCCCCTAATATATAGTTCAGGTATTATTATACAATTAGTCCAATTGAATTCGATCAATATCCATTTCATGTTGTATCATTTACATGAACAATTTCTTATTCCTTGGTCCAATGCACAATATATATAGGTCATGAAAAGCTCTCAGGATTAAGCAATCTAGAGTTCCTTACCATTAATACAATGTTCGATATGGAAGATATCAACGTCTTATCGGTCTTGAATAAATTAACTAATCTCAGCTAATATTCTTTATATTTATGTTGTGTGTGTTTCTATCAAGTCTCTCTCTCTATATATATCTCTCTGAGTTAAGAAAAAAAAAACGATTTGAGTGAATTGAATTTGTGATAAATTCACATATGCATCCTGGTAAGAAAGTTGTTAAGAATCGATTTTGAAGTATCTTTCGTTGCAATGTCGTGACAGATTTAAAAGACTTCATCAATCTGAAGATGCTAGTCATAGGTCACAACCATTACCAAAGCTTTGGACCATTTAACGGTATTGAATACATACACATATGGGCATACATACATATTCCTGATTGGTTGCTTCTTTAGCATATACGTATATGAGTTACTAATATAACTTTATGTACAGAAGGAGACGAACCTAAGAAATTGGAGAGCTTGAATTTACAATCTAACAGATTTAATAACAGCTTATTCAAGTCGATTAAAGGGCTTCCTTCACTCAAGTTTCTGGATCTGAGTATGAATGACTTTCACGGACCACTACCCATACAAGGTGTAGCCCATATGTAACAACATTGTTTCATTCCATCTATACTTAATTTCTTCCATTGTTATATCATATGTGTTTACAATGTATATATTATTAGTACTAGTTTTTTACGCGCATTGCGCGATTGAGATAATGCCCAATGTTTTTTTTTTTTTAATTAAGTACTTTAAAGTATATCAAGGCAAGATTATATTATATTGGAATTGTTCATGCATAGATAATTGAATGTTAAATTTGCGTATTTAAATAGGCAATTCAAAGTTTACAAATGCAAGATAATATAGTCAAGATTGATTATAATTGTCAATAAAATAATTGTATAGGTATGGTTGAAACCAAATACGGGACATAAGGGAGAGCAAATAAAAATTAGGGCATAAAATATTAAATATATACTAATATTGAAGAACTAACTGATAATTGTCAAACAAGGACATTGCGACATAGTTTCCCACTTCAATTTTTTGTGTGATTTGAATATTTTTTTTGTCAATAAATCACCCAAATAGTTAATATGATTGGCTTAGTTATATATTTTTATTTTCTTTATTTTTTTAAAACAATTATTATTATTATTATTATTATTATTATTATTATTATTATTATTATTATTATTATTAAATATATGTATACCCTTAGGTCATTTTACATGTTAATCTAAAAGCTAATTTTTTCAAATATCTTTTTACCAACCGTTGATATAATTCGCTGGTCAAATTCGCTAACCCTAACTGCTAAATGCTGATTGTAAAACAAGGACATTGCGAGATAATTTTCGCTTCAATTTGTTGTGTGATTTGAATACTCTCTTTGTCAACAAATCCCTGAAGTAGTTAATATGATTGGCTTTATTAATTATATATTTTTTTAATTTTTTCATGGTATTAATAAAATACTTGGTAAATAAATATATAGCATTATTTTGTATTGTAACTTTGATATTTAATTAAAAAAATAGTGCACAAAAAAGATGCGGAGTAATAGACAATGTTTTCAGAGATGTAAGTTTCCAGGAGGGAAGGAAGAAGAAGGATAGCAGAAAGGATGAAGATGTTATTCGAACTGTTCTCACTGATACAAAACTAAGCCCTTTTATCCCTAGAACATTGGAGGGAAAAGGGAAAGAAAAGGAAACTAACTAACTCACAACTAACTTTTCATAACAGAAAGCTAACAAACATCTGAAAGGGATAAAGAACCTAGCTAGCTAGTTAGTGTGTTCTGATGCAGCCAGGTGTGTGGCTCTGATTATCTTGATCATCTAATAGCCCCCCGCAAGCTGGATTGTATAGATTGAACAATCCAAGCTTGGATATATATGTGTTGAATGATCCTGGACAGTGTGTTTTTGTAAAAGTGTCTGCTAGCTGATTTTCAGAGGCAACATGTAAAAGCTTGATGACACCTTTGCTCAGCTTTTCTCTAACCAAATGGCAATCTAACTCAATGTGTTTAGTCCTTTCATGAAACACTAGATTCTTAGCAATAGCAATGGCTGATTTACTGTCACAGTATACAGTTGCAGGACTTTTGTAGTCTATTCCAAGATCTTTAAGCATGTAGAGCAACCATTGTAGTTCACAAGCAGTGGCTGCTAGGGCCCTATATTCAGCCTCTGATCTGAGGATGACTTAGACACAGTGGGCTGCTTCTTGGACTTCCTTGATATCAAGGCATCCCCTAAGAACACACAAAATGTTAGGAACACTTGTATTAGGATTTTGATGATACCAATGTAACCTAGAATGTAGACCCCTAACCTTCGTTATTTTTTAATCGCTGCTTTCATTCTAGACGAAAGTTGCCATAACTCGCACTGTAATTCGTGTTAAGCTAGACAAACACACGAAAACGAGTTATGTTCTTTAGTTAGGGCTATCAAGACGAAAAGAGACACAAAGCACGAAGACTGAAGCATCAACAACGAAAGTTCATCCAAGGTTATCAACCACCTCGTAAAGACAGCTATCATTATGACAATTCATCAAGACATTCATTTTCTTCATCAACGAGAAGAATGTCACTACTGTCTGAGTTGACTAATCATCCTAGGAACAAAAGGACCTCAACATGTGGGACACGCATACCAAGGAGCATTAAATGAAGCTGTACCATCCTTGAAGCTAAAAGACAAAACCCTAAGGCTATCCATGCCCTCAACGGTTACATGGTACAAACCACATTAATGGAGCATTTAATGCAACAAGCTCCCTGGTCCTTACCCACTGGATAATAGGTTTGAAATTTCATCTCCCTCCAACGGATGAAATTTCCCACACCTATATAAACCCACCTTCATCAACTTAGAAGGTGCTGGTTCTTTTCACTTGACAACATTCTCAAGCAAAAAGCTCTTAAGCAATCTTAAAGTTCTCATCAAGCTTTTTGTGAACCAGTGTCAAGGCGTGAAGATATTTGAAGAAGCTCATTATTTCTTATCTTCCACCTTGAAGAAGTCTTGGATCTTAGAAGAAGTTATCATCCTCCATTCAATCAAGACTTCACCACGTTGGAGAAATCAGAATTCATTTTCTACCAACCAACTCTGAAGAAGACGTTGATAGAGGCGGAGTAAACTCGCGGAGTTGAAAAACCTGCAGGAAGCTGTCCGACTTAGTGATCAAGGAAGCTTCTTGTGTATTTGTACTAACGAGTGATAGTGCAAACCTTCCATAAATTGTGGAAGAAGAGTGGAAGTAGGCAAAGTTGGCCGAACCACTATAAAACTCTCGTCTCCCTATCTCTTTAATTTTCGCGATTTACTTCCTACATCATAACATCATACGCGTCCAAACCGAAAGCTTCATAAAAACGTCAAACTGTGCAAAGTGTTTAAAACTAACTCAATATTTCCGCTGCGCTGTAACGCCGAAAGGTTATTACTTGCAAAAATCTGAAAAGAGTCTATTCACCCCCCCCCCCCCCCCCTCTAGACTCTCGTTATAACACTACCGGGACCAACACAAAATCCAGTCATTGATCTCCTGGTGTCAACACAAGCTCCCCAGTCTGAATCTGAAAAAGCCTTCAAGTGCAAATTAGAATGAGTGGGGAAGAATAAACCTTGGCCTGGAGCAGCCTTAATGTATCTTAGAACTCTTTGAGCAGCTTGTAAATGCAAATCAGTGGGCTTGTCAAGGAACTGGGATAATTGCTGTGTAGCAAAGGCTATATCAGGCCTGGTTATAGTCAAGTATAACAGCTTGCCTATTATCCTCCTGTATTGAGTGTTGTCTTCAAGATGCTTACCCTCATTTTTGCTCAGCTTGTGAGATGGAACAGTGGGACTATGCACTGGTTTGGAATCTGTAAAACCAGTGTCAGCAAGGAGCTCAATGGCATACTTTCTCTGGCACACTGCAATTCCTTTTTGTTGTCTGGCTACCTCAAGTCCTAAAAAATACTTCAAAGGCCCTAAGTCTTTTATCTTAAAGTTGACATTGAGTTGCTCCTTTACTTCTTGTATCTTTTCCAGATCACTACTGCAAGGACTATGTCATCCACAAAGACTAGAAGGGCTATGAAGGAAGAACCTTATCCTTTGGTAAATAAGGAATTATCATATATGGTTTGATTAAAACCCATGTTATATAGGGCAATGCTCAATTTTGTGTTCCACTGCCTACTGGCCTGCTTCAATCCATAAAGGGATTTGTTCAGTTTGCATACCTGGCCAGTGTTCCCAGTCTTATATCCAAGAGGTAATTGCATATAAACCTCTTTTTATAGATCTCCATGAAGAAAGGCATTATTTACATCCATTTGGTGAAGGTGCCATCCTTTTGCTGCTGCTATAGCAAGTAAGCATCTGATTGTTGTTACTTTGGCTACAGGGCTGAATGTGTCAAGGTAATCCACCCCAAGGATCTGATTATAACCTTTTGCCACTAACCTTGCTTTGTACCTTTCTATGCTACCATCAGCTTTGTGTTTGATTTTGTATACCCACTTGCAGCCTATGGGCTTTTTAGAAGGGGGCAAGTTGACAAGCTGCCAGGTGTTGTTTCTCTCAAGAGTTGTGATCTCTTCTTCCATAGCCTGTTTCCAACAATCATGTTGAACTGCCTCCTTGAAGCTTCTTGGCTCACTATGACTTGTTATATGCATCACAAAGGACTGGAAAGATGGAGCTAAGGCATTGTAGCTTATGACCTTATCCAATGTGTGGGGAGAGGATTTCTGGATAAGACTGTTACATTCATAGTCTTGTAGATAGGTAGGAGTGTGTTTTTGTCTTGTGGATCTTCTAATGACTGGTTGGGGAGGGTCTTCTAGGTAGTTAGTAGAGGTGGATATATGTGAGGCTGGCCTAATTTGAGTAGGTTCATTGTTTTGGCTGATAGTTGATATAAAGGGGGTTGAACTGGTTGGGTGGGAACACAGCTGTGAGGCATTATTATGTGTAGCTGGTGCATCAGGTTGGGGAGGTTCTTCTGCAGTTTCACCACTCAAGATGGGCAATATGAGTTGGCTGTTTGGTTTTATTTGGCCTTCATCTAGCTGGAAAGGAAAAATATTTTCATAGAAGACACCATCTCTAGATAGGAAGATTGTCTTAGATGTGAGGTCATACATCTTATAGCCTTTTACCCCATTTGCATAACCAAGAAAAACACACTTCTTTGATCTAGCATCCATTTTTGACTTTGGCCCTACTGTAGTGGCATAAGCCAAGCAACCAAAAATCCTTAGGTGTTGATAGTGTGGAACCCTTTTGAGCAGCAGTTGGTAGGGGATCTGGTTGTTTATGGCAGCTGATGGCAACCTATTAATCAAGTATGCTGCATGCAACACACATTCACCCAGAATTGCTCAGGTAGGTTAGCTTGGAACTTGCGAGCTCTAGCTGTTGAGAGGAGGTGACCATGCTTTCTTTCAACTCTACTATTTTGTTGGGGAGTGTAAGCACAGAAGTCTGATGTAAGATCCCCTTCTGATTAAAAAACTCATTCATACTGAATTCAAGGCCATTATCAGACCTTATACACTTCACCTTGGCTTCAAATTGATTCTCAACTAGGTTGCAGAATGCCACAATTAGACTTCTGGTTTCTGACTTTGTCCTCATCATGTATACCCACACAACCCTACTATAATCATCCAATATGGTGAGAAAATAATGATGACCATGGACTGTAGCAACCTTATAGGGACCCCAAATGTCCATATGTAGAAGATCAAAGCATTTAGCAGATATGGATTTACTAGACTGGAAGGGTAGTCTCTTCTGTTTAGCAAGATGACAACATTCACAAAGTAACTCTTTATTGATTTGAATATCAGGCTCCACAGTTTTCAACACTTGAAGTTTAAAATGTGAAGCATGGCCTAGTCTAGCATGCCATAGAATACATTTGTTACTTACAGATACAGAATTGCATACAAAGGAAGAAGAAGTGGGAAAAACTAAGTAGTATAAACCACATTGTAGCTCAGCTCTTCCAATCACTTTGCCATGGATAGCACCCTGTATAACACATTGGTTAGATTGTATTTCAATAGAGCCTTTGGAGTCTTTGATGAAGGCTCCTACTGAAATCAGATTATGTTGGAAACCAGGAACATATACGGCATTATATAGCTTGAAATCATCAGATAAGCACACAGCTCCAATGTGTGTGATAGCAGCTTGTTGTCCATTAGGCAGATTAACATATATATTTTGAACCCTTTCTTGACTGCTTAATAAGGACACATCACACACAATATGGTGAGTGGCACCACTGTCTATTATCCACTCATTTAGCCCATGTTTAACAGAGTTAAGAGAAATAACCATACCTTCACTTTGAAGGTCTACTGCCACAGTGTTGCCAGATGTTTGGGGCTGCTCAAGAGGAGTACTACTGGCTGGCTTTTTGCAAGTTCATGAACTCTAAGAATTTCTTGAAATCACCTTGAGTAAAAGGCATATTCTCATCACAATTGGCAGTGGTTCCTTGCACTTGGTTAACAGAATTTTGGTTTCCATCCGGGGGGATAACCATGTTTTTTGTAACACTTGTCTTGTGTGTGACCAGTGTAGCCACAATAGGTGCACACTGGTTTCTTGTTTGTTGCTTGTGGCCTCCTGAAGCCTTGTTGGAAGCCTCCATCAGTTCTGGCCATAAACACACTGCCTGTGTTCTCACCACTTTGGTGCAGTTAGCTTCCAAAGCTAGTGGCAATCATCTGGAATTGCCTCTCTTGTTGGGCAATCATTGAGTATGCATCATTTACATCAAGCAGAGGTCTCATAAGCATGATTTGGTTCCTTGCCCCAGTGTATCTCTCATGTAATCCAATCAAGAAGATTGACAGTTTGTCCTTCTGATGCTGCTCAGTTATCTCATCTAATTTCTTTCCACAGTTGCACTTGAGGTTGCAAGTGCACCCCATTGGAGGCCTTAGGATCATCAGCTCATCCCATAGCAGCTTCTGCTTGGTAAAGTATTCATTCAACGATTCATCTGCCTGCTTTGATTGATATATCTCACACATTATTTCTGCAATCCGGAATAGGTCTTGTTGGCTAAATCTTCTCTTCAAGTCATCCCAGATCCCATAAGCAGTGTCTATCCACAAGACACTACGGGCGATGGTGGGAGATAGAGTGCGAATGATCCAGGTGCAGACTATGTTGTTGCATCTCTCCCACGCGTAATACCTCACTTGATCATCATGGGGTGGCCTCTTAATCACACCATTGATGAAGGCCACCTTATTCTTGCAGGAAAGGGCCATCGTCATAGCCCTAGCCCAGGCATGGTAATTCTATCCATCCAGATGACAAGAGACGAGTTCCAGCGCTGGATTCTCGTTCACGTGCAGATAATACGGATTGGACTGCGTTTGAGGATCGCAAGGTATCTCAGCGATCAAATTCTCAGTGACCAGAGGGATAGGTCTATTCGAAGAGACGGGAGTGGTGTTTCTGTCTGCATTTTCTGCTGGATTCGCAGTTGAATTGCCTCCATTGTTTACTGGAACTGATTGAGTGTTGAGAGGTGGCCAGGCTGCCATTGACGCCATCTGAGGATCTTATCTTGATGGCTCTGATACCATTTCAGAGATGTAAGTTTCCAGGAGGGAAGGAAGAAGAAGGATAGCAGAAAGGATGAAGATGTTATTCGAACTGTTCTCATTGATACAAAACTAAGCCCTTTTATCCCTAGAACATTGGAGCGAAAAGGGAAAGAAAAGGAAAATAACTAACTCACAACTAACTTTTCATAACAGAAGCTAACAAACATCTGAAAGGGATAAAGAAGCTAGCTAGCTAGTTAGTGTGTTCTGATGCAGCCAGGTGTGTGGCTCTGATTATCTTGATCATCTAATAAATGTAGTGAATATAATCAATTGATGAATTTGAATGTAAAGAATTTTTACATTGGAGAAAAATAAAGATAATATAACTAATAAAATTATTTCTCTTAATTAATTTATTGATAATGAATAATTATTTTTGAATAAAGACATTGTAGACACATAATTCTAAATTAAAGAAATGCATATGTATTATTTTTTGTTGTAGCTGCTAAATTATTATTTAATTTAATAAGAGTAAAATAGAGGATTAATTATGCCAACTTTGATTGGGATGAGGTTCGAACTTAAGACCTTTCTTATTGAAATCAATGAGTAAGTTAACAGTGAACTAACAGAAATTAACGGAAAAGATAATATTTAATGGAAAAGTTAACGGATAATCATATTCTTTAATGATAAATTAGGAAATCTTAAGAAAAATTAAAATCTGATCAATCTGAGCCATTCATTTGATTAAAAAATTTGACCGCCATTTTTTCTACCCATTATAGGCCTAACTCTCTTGGACTCTTATTAGTATAGTAGATATCTAGTTAACATATTATAATATATATATATATATATATATATATATATATATATATATATATATATATATATATATATATATATATATATATATATATATATATATATATATATATATATAGCCATATAGGGTTGCATTTACATGAGGACAGTAATATATAGAGGACTGTGTGGATAGATAATGGGCACACGATAAATTAGTATTATACACACAATTTAATACACAATGGCACACTAGCATGCATGTAAACATCAGGTTTCGAACGCATGCTCTATTAATTAACAAACCTATGCACATGATATACAAATTATGACACACGACTACATACCTCTTCACAGTTCTCTATAATATAGTTGTTATCATTTGAATACACTTCTATATATATATATATATATATATATATATATATATATATATATATATATATATATATATATATATATATATATATATATATATATATATATATATATATATATATATATATTTCTATTTAGGTGAGAACCAACCTTAACTTGTGAGCAGCAAACTTGTGAATGATTGCACCGCAACTACTACATAATTGCACTGCTACAGCTCCTAGACATGTTTGGAGGACCTTGTAGTGCAATCGTATCCAGGTGCGATGCAATCCTTCACAAATTCGCAGTTCGCAGGTTAACGTAGGTTCTCACCTATATATTTGTAGTTAACACATTATGTGCTTTTAATTTATTTACAAGCACATAATTAACTGCATAAACATAATATGTTAATTGTAGATACATACTCTGAATATCATTTTGGACTACGATCCACCTAGTCCATGGTATAATTTGCGGCAAATTGTGTGGACCATAACAAAAAGTATGTTTTTAATATATTAAAAGTGGTTTCAATATATATATATATATATATATATATATATATATATATATATATATATATATATATATATATATATATATATAAAGTGCATCATTCGTGTACTGGATGTACATTATACAATAGAAAAAAGTGTCAAATTGGCCCTCTAAGTCGACTGGATAGTGTAATTGGGTCCCCTAACTAAAAAAGCTCCATTCAGATCCCCTAAACCTGTTAAATTGTTCAATTAAGTCCAAGATGACTTGTTTAACAGGTTAAATCTTCACATTGTTGACACGTGTCACTTTAATTTTTTTTTTTGTTTTTTTTAAATGATTTATTTATTTATTAAAATATATATTATATATAAAAATAAAATTAAAAAAAAAAACAAAGCTTTTTTTTTTTTTGAAAACGCACAAAGCTGTTTAGGTGGCTGTGTTTTATTATTATTTTATTTTTTATTTTTTATATATAATATATATTTTAATAAATAAATAAATCATTTAAAAAAAACTAAAAAATATATTTTAAAATGACACGTGTCAACAATGTGAAGATTTAACCTGTTAAACAAGTCACCTTGAACTTTTTTTTTTTTGATTAATTGAACAATTTAACAGGTTTAGGGGATCTGAATAAAGCTTTTTTTAGTTAGGAAACTCAATTGCACTATCCGGTCGACTTATGGGGCCAATTTGACACTCTTCCCTACAATATATACTTTAAGTACTCAAATAATGTACTTTACCTGAATACAATATACATATTTAATATACTAAAAGTACACTATTTATATACTGAATGTACATTATTTGATGGTATTATTGATACTTTGCCTAATTTCTTTGCGAAACTAAAATGTGAATAACCTTCAACTTTTTCTACAGACATAAATTCATTGAGCAGTTTGGAGGTCTTAGATTTGAGTGAAAACTCTATCGAGGGCTTCGAGACACCTATAAGTATTTCAGGTCCATTAATTTTATGTAATTAATTATTAATTAACCTTTTTCATAATATATATCTTTAATTTAATCTTTTACATTTTGTAATGTTGAATTAGGAGTATCAGGCAGGATTACAAACAACAGCCATCTTCAATTGCGTTTAAATTCCATACTCTGTAACATGACTAAGTTATTACAGTCTTTGGCATCGTTCCAAGCTGTTAAGAGCCTTGAATTACGGGGTAACAACATTACAACCATTGATGAAATTTATGGTGAGGAAAATGAAGGATCTAGACTCATCTGACTTGTGTTATGGTCACAAATTTTCTTCTCTAAGATAATTATCTTTTATGTGTATGTGGCATTTAAGCATTGAGGAATCTGAGAAATCTTGAAGACTTGTTTCTTGGACCCTATTTCTTACCAAATAATATCCTGCATAAAGATTTCCTTCAAAGCATTGGCCCAATGAATTCACTCCAAGTATTATCAGTGCGTCATATGCAATTTGGAGGATCTTTACCTAGCAAAGGTAAAAATAATTTCTATCTTATTAGCATTCATGCAAAAAAATAAAAAAGCATTCATGCGTTGAGGCAGGATTTGGCTCTTCACGGACTACCGCCCAACAACTCCTCATTCAACACCCAGCTTGAACTCAAACTTAGCTCTGAAACCACTTGTTAGGATAAGTCCTTACCATTACATACGCCAAAAACTATAGCTCATTGCAAAGGCGTAACTTTATTTTCTTATATATCGTTACATATTTTAGAAGCAGGGTGTTGAACTTGACCCTTCATCGGTCTCCGCCCAACAATGCCCCTAGCCACCAATTCTTGGCCTGTGAACATATATGTTGTAACTTGTAATCACACACTCCTTGATAACTAAATAACAACATGTCGTCTCATTTCCATATATGACTACAGGTGGTTGGTGTGAACTAAGGAACCTCAAAGAGCTCCGTCTAAGTGGGAATCAATTGGAGGGAATGCTTCTACTATGTTTGAGAAATTTAACATCTCTTGGATTGGTTGATCTCTCTCAAAACAAGCTTATTGGAAACATTGCTTCATCCCCACTTTCAACACTAACATCTATTGAATATCTTTCAATTTCACACAACTCCATTGAAGTCCCAATCTCATTCAGATCTTTTGCTAACCATTCCAAACTTAGGTTCATACTTGCTGACGAAAATTATGCCATTTCTGAAACTGATGAGTTACAAAGTGTGGTCCCTAAGTTCCAGCTAGAAGTATTTTCCATGTCAAATTGCATCAACCTTCTAATGTTGCCAAAATTCCTTCACTACCAATATGATTTGAAGGTTCTTAAGATCTCTAAAATCATTTTGGAGGCAGAATTTCCCAATTGGTGGCTACATAACAACACAAAACTTCAAGAGATCTCTATGAACTCCAATAATTTCACTGGACCCCTTAAGTTTCCATTGCATCTTCCTAATCCAAACCTTCAAATACTTGATTTCTCTAACAACAAGTTGAGTGGAGAAATTCCTTACAATATCAGTTCAACCTTTCCAAAGATTGTGGCACTAAACCTCTCCTACAATTTGTTTACGGGTCAAATACCTTCCTCTCTTGGCAACATGAAATTTTTAAAGTTTCTTGACTTGTCAAACAATTCTTTCACCGGGGAAATTCCAAAGGAGTTGTTGATTGGCGGCACCTTGTTAATGGTTCTTAAACTATCAAATAATAATCTGGAAGGAGAAATAGTCAAAGAGTTTGCATACTTAACTTTATTATGGCTCTTGCATCTTGATGGTAACAATTTCACAGGCACCATATCAGATAGCCTTTCTAATATTCCTTTGATGTCTTTGGATATGAGTGACAACAAATTTTTTGGAATAATTCCAAGATGGTTGGGTTATATAGAGAATTTGGAACAACTCACTTTGTCCAAGAATCACCTTCAAGGTTATATCCCTATAGAGCTTTGTTACCTAGGAGGACTCAGTTTTCTAGACTTGTCAGAGAACAATTTAACAGGGTCTATACCATCTTGCCTCAATCCATACAACATTATATATGTTGGTCTAAGTAAAAATCATTTGGGAGGTCAACTGACGAGTGCCTTTATTAATAGTACTACCTTGGCAATGCTTGATCTTAGTCACAATGATTTTGTTGGAAGAATTCCGATCCAGAATGGATAGGCAGCATCGATCTCCAAATTGAGCATTCTTCTTCTCAAGGGAAATAAATTTGAAGGAAAGATTCCAATTCAAGTATGCCAACTTATGAGACTGAGGGTATTGGATTTATCCAATAATCAATTAACTGGTAGTATCCCAGGTTGCCTGGGTAAGATAAGTCTAGAGGTGAGTGATGAAAGATCCATGGTTTTCAATAACTTAGAGTTCCCCCTCTATATACTGGGACTACAATGACATATATTATGAGTTCTGGTTCAACAAGTGAATTCGAGATTGACTTGCCAGAAAATGTTGCATGCTCATCTAGTTGTTGAGTTTACAACAAAGGGAAATTCAGTATGAAGGTAGTATCCTCAAATATATGTCTGGAATTGATCTCTCCGCTAATAGGTTAAGTGGTGAAATTTCATATGAGTTGGGAAATTTGACTAAGATACATGCATTGAACTTGTCGCATAACAATCTTAGTGGCACGATTCCAGAAGCGCGTTCTCAAAGTTACATAATATTGAGAGTCTAGATCTTTCTCACAACAGGTTAGGCGGGAAAATTCCTAACACATTACTTAACCTCAACACCTTGGAGGTATTTAATGTTGCATACAACAACTTATCAGGTGCAATACCAGAACCAAAAGCTCAATTTGCAACATTCAGTGAAGACAGTTACATGGGCAATCCTTATCTTTGTGGGCCGCCATTGCACACTAGTTGCAATAGTGCCGACTCACCATCATCTCCATTGCCATATGACTCGGAAGGTGAGAATGAAGAAAGTAATGGTGTAGATTTAGAGGTTTTCTACATCAGCTTTGGTGTGTCTTATGCTGTTTTTTTGTTAGGAATAGTCTTGGTGTTATATATAAATCCTTATTGGAGAAACACGTGGTTTGAACTGATAGAGTACCTTTTATATAAGTGGTTTGGGATAGGCAGAGACTAAGTAATCGTAGACCTGCGGCATTTCAATTTGCTCAACTCTCTTTTTGAAATTTAGCTTTTATTGTCATAGCTCATCTGTACTTTGAATTATTGTAATGCAAATTAAAATATTGCACTGTACTGCAGGTTTACTAGAGGTTGACAATTGGGACAAAGTATATAGGTTTTATTTGAACTAATAAAAATTATTTAAAAATTATTAAAAATGCCAACTCAGCTGTCACGTAAGCAGGTAAAATTGATGGTAACGCGCTATCAGGCGAAATTACATACATTTGGAGTGTTCAGTGGCCTAATTGCACTTTTTTTTTTTTTTTTTTTTCGTTCAGTGACCTAATTACATTTTCAGGTTACGTTTAGTGGCCAATTTGAATCTTATTCCATTTATTTTTGTGACAGTTATATATAATCAATCTCTCATATATTATCTTGCATTTATATACTTTAAATTACTAATTTAAATAAACAAATTCAACATTTATTTACCTATGCATGAACATCTTTTATATAATATTGCATTGATATACTTGGAAATACTTATTTTAAAAGAATCATTGGACATTATCCCATTCGCGCAAAGCGCGTAGAAAAACTAGTATAAATCTAATAAAAGTCAATAAAATTAGGCCTATAACGTGAACTAAAAAATGTTGGTCCAAGTTGAAATGAATGGTTCATGTTATTTTGATTTTAGTGTTTTTTTTTTTTTTTTTTTTTTTACTTTACCAACTATTATATCATTTACTTTTACTAAATACTCCCCATTCCATCCGTGTAAATTTAGTGACAAAATATTCCATTAACTATTTATTATTATATTCTTAACTTATTGATTTCCATAAGGAATGTCTTAGGTCCGAGTTCCATTCCAATAACATAATTGTTGAACATATAATATATGAATATGTTAGAGTGTATTAAAAAAATATATAAAATGTCTACAAATCTAATAAGAGTGAATAATGTTAGGCCATTAACTCGAACAAAAAAATGTCGGTATAATAATTGTTTCTTAAAATGAATGGTTCATATTATTTTGATTTTCGTATTTTTTAATAATTTTCCTTATTTACCATCTATTATATTATTTTCTTACCTTAAATAACCTTAAATTCCGTTAGTATAAACTTTAGTAACGGAATATTCCGTTAACTATTTATTATTCTTAACCTACTCATTAATTTATATAAAAGGGTCTTATGTTCGAACCTCATCCCAATTAAAGTTGTCATAATTGTTAAATATATACTACGAATATGTTAAAACATATTTTAAAAAAATATAATATAAAATGTAACATAAACTTTGGTCACATAATTAGCCCGACTAAATACATAGCATTCGCATCAAAGATTATAAATCAGGAACTTTAAAAATCATTTGATTTTCTTGGAATTTTTTTTAAACAACAAATTTAGATTAAGTTTTTTTTTTTGTTTGTTTAATTAATCTTCTTTTGATTATTTAGAGCAAAAACTTAATATTTCAATTATGCTTTTGCAATATTGGAATGTTTAGATCATTATGGTATTAATATTTTTTGTATGTATTTTTATAATGGTATAATTGTACATTACTTTACAAATATTATACTATTATTTTCTTTTATCCGACAAAATTGTTCTCACGTCATTGTCAGACTTGCGTGGCCTAACTACAAAGTTGTTGATCATAAATACAATTACACATGGACTCTAAAACGATACGACCATTTTCCAAAGAATTGACAATGTTGACATCCCAGACTTCAATTGAACAATTTGCATCAACAACGAATGGAAATTAAAAAAAAAAAAATTCAATGATTTCATTATTGTTGATGAAAAGTATGTCTGTCACTTTATTACTCTTACTAAATTAAATAAATTAGTACCTAAAACAAAAAATAATACATATGCATTTAATTAATTTAGATTTAGATGTTTATAATGCCTTTATTTAAAAAAAAAAAAATTATTCATTATAAAAAATTTAAAAAGAGATATAATTTCATTAGTTATATTATCTTTATTTTCTACGTACAATCAAAGATTTCTTGCCTTCAAATTTATTAATTTATTATATTCACTACATTGTCCATTGTTTTCTTTTTACATTATCTTTATATTTATTTATTTATTTGTCAAGTATTTTACCACTACCAAATATCAATAGATGTTTGTAAGATAAAGAGTTCATAATACAACTAAGGTCTCAGTCATATACACAACAAGACAAATCTAAACTTCCTACACTATAATCTCATTTGTACGATGTATCCCTCTATGCTACCACCAGTAACCCAATTGCACATGGTACACTACCAATAATAATAATTAAAAAAAAACAAACAAAAAAGGACATGTACTGAAGATGGATATAATAACAATGTTACCCAAAAAAGAGTTAAGAAGAATTAGAGAAATTTAAATAAAAAGTAGTATTTATTTAGACTATCACTTTTAGACTAAATATTTAGATATTTAGACTAGCGTTATTAATTACAAAGTTGCAAACATTTAGTTTAGTTACAATTATACTTAATCTCTCATATATTATCTTGCATTTATATAATTTAAATTGTCAATTTAAATAAACAAATTCAACATTTATTTACCTATGCATGAACATTTTCTATATAATATTGCATTGATATACTTTGAAATATTTATTTAAAATAATTATTGGGCATTATCCCATTCGTGCAAAGCGCGTAAAAAAACTAGTAACATTAATGTTGGTCAATTAATTAGCATGATTATATACATCACATTCAAAGATTATAAATAAGGAACCTTGTAAATCATTTTCTTGCATTTTTTAAGAACAAATCTAGGTTATGTTTTTCTTTTGTTAGTTTAATCAATCTTCTTTTGATTATTTAAAGCAAGACTCAATATTTTAATTATGCTTTTGTATTATTGGGAATGATTTAAGTCATTATGGTATTAATAATTTTTATCTATATTTGTATAATGATACAATTTATACTATTATTTTTTTACATGACAAAATTATTCTTACCTCAATAACGTTTCATACGAATATATATATATATATATATATATATATATATATATATATATATATATATATATATATATATATAGTGTCGGTAAATATTGTTTTGTATGGTTGGGTCTGATGCCTATTGTGTTCATTAAGGATCCTGAGCTAATCAAGGAGGTTGTGAATAATGTGCACCGGAATAAGGAACAATGTGCACTAGAAGAAGAAACAATGTGCACTAGAAGAAAAGACAATGTGCACTGAAAGAATGGACAATATACACTGGAAGAAAGCACGAGGTGCACTAGAAGAAGATACAGTTAGGGATGGCAACGGGGCAGGGAATGGGGTCCCCGTCCCCGAAACAAGTCCCCATTCACCGTCCCCGCCCCATTCCTGCACTGGGATGGGGAATTATTCTCCATCCCCGTCCCCGTGGGAATTTTTCAGAGCCGGAGAATCCCCGCCCCGTTTTTGAATTACGCCAATGGGAAAAAAGGACTATATGATATCATCAAAATTTTAAATTGCTAAGCCTTCAATCCTTAAACAAAGTCCAAAAGATGAGAATATAATTGTGCTGTATTCAATCATAATGTCTGAGAGTACAGGGAGCGAATATATAGAGATGCTAGATAGAGTCCTAGTCTAACACGAATAATATAGTCCTAGTCTAATATGAATAATAAAGTCCTAATACTCCCCCTCAAGCACAAGTTTGGTCAGCCAAAATATTGAGCTTGGAACGGAGTAAATTAAAACGTACAGACGAAAGAGACTTAGAGCATGTTTGGTTCATGGAAAATGTTTTCCTTGAATTTGAGGAAAACTAGATTTTCCTTTGTTTGGTTCATGGAAAACATTTTCCATTGGAAAACATTTTCAATGGCCCCCCTTGGTATTTTGTTTTCCATGGAAAACAAGTAGGACAATTATACCCTCATAAACTTTTCTTAATTACAATTATTATTATTGATGTTATTATTATATAGGGGTATAATTGTCTTTATACTCATTATTCTTTACAATTTCAAACTCAACCAAACAATGGAATCGATGTTCCCAATAATTTATTTTCCACCAACCAAACAATGTAACTAATCTTCCCGGTAATTTCTTTTCCATGGAATTTCAATTCCATTTCCCCTCAAATATTTTCCGCGAACCAAACTGGGCCTTAGTAAAAATATCCGCTATCTGATCTTTGGTAGAAATAAAATTGACTTGTAATTTCTTCTTTGCTACTTTATCGCGAACAAAGTGGTAGTCGATCTCAATGTGTTTGGCGCGAGCATGAAACACCGGATTAGCACATAGATAAGTAGCACCCAGATTATCACACCAGAGTTTGGGTGCAGAAGGTGGCGAAAACCCGAGTTCCTTCATCAGAGATACGAGCCAAGTAACCTCTGCAGAAACATCAGCGAGCCCTTTGTATTCTGCCTCAGTTGAGGAACGAGCCACAGTACGCTGTTTTCGACAAACCCCTGAGACAAGATTGGTCCCCAAAAACACAACAAAACCAGGCGGTAGATTTTCGATCATCAGGATTGCCAGCCCAATCGGAATCAGAATAAGCATGAATATCCAGAGAGGGAGAGGAAGTAATTTTAAGACCGAGATGTAGTTTCCCATTTACATACCGTAACACCCTCTTGAGAGCCGCCCAATCCGCAGTGGGGGGAGAGTGCATGTGCTGACACAAACGATTGACTGCATAGGAAAGATCAGGACGAGTTATCGTAAGATAGTGTAGAGCACATGCAAAGCTGCGATACTGAGTGGGATCAGCATATGGCACCACTATAAGAAATCTGTCATTTAGCGACGTTTTTTAAACGTCGGTAAAAATACAAATACGTCGCCAAATGTCTTTACTAACGAAAAAAAAACGTCACCCGGACCGTCAGGTTAGCGGCGTATGGAAAGGTATTATTGACGAAGTTAATTTTCGTCACAAAATATTACGATTACTGACGTTTTTGCATGGTCTTGATAATGTCATTGAATACATACTTTTTGCAACGTAATATTAACAAAAACATCAGTAATAGTTTGTGACGAAGTAGAATATTTCGTCAGCAAATGTGTCATTAGTGACGTTTTCCATACAATTATGGTTGTCATTAATAAACTTAATTGGTGACGAAAAATGAAATGCGTCAATAAAATAACATTTATTGACGATTGTGTACATTATTATGCTATCAGTAAAAAGACATTTACTGACGTTTTTTCCATGTTCGATTTTCATCGCAAAATTTTATATTTGGAGATATTTGTAATTTTTTTACCCTTGATTGATGATAATTTACATATACTTGTATATAGAATGGTTTACACAACAATTTCATGTAATTGAAAATAAAATATTTTAGCATCAATTAAATATTCAAAATAGAAGAATATTTTTCATAGTATAATATAGAATTACAAGGATGTAATGTGATACAAATGATTCTTAAATAAGGTCAGACTAACACGGAAATATATACAATTCTATATAAAGATAGATAATAACGCTCATGTTTATCAAAACTATTGAGACCGGCACTTTAGAAGTCCTTTGTCTTGGGGAGAAGGCTAATTTGATGATTACTTCTAGATATGCAATAATTCCCTGCCAAGTAAGAAACATTGTACAAGAAATTAAAATCTTGCCAAATTTATCTTATTAATAGCAGTACAAAGGTAAAGGTAAAATAGGAGTATAAAAGCTATATAAGCTGTAAAAACTAAAAACCAACAAAACATGAATTTAGAAGCTTGCATAAACACAATAAGAAAAATACTACTCCGTATTAATTTTCCAAATAGGATTATATGTCCTTCAAGTGCTATATATTATAAGAAAACAATTCACTAAAGACTCAAAATTAAGGAATATATAGTATAATAAATTCGGCATAAAATAAGCTGAAGTTCTAATATAAACTTTCCTCAAGTCTTGCAAGAACAGTGGTGCGCTCAAACAGTCAAACCCCTGCTTGTCAACTATCATCTCACTTCCAGCTTCATAATCACAGGCCTCTGTCTGTTGGCTGCCAATAAAACCCCAAAATGTTTTAGTATAATCTTAAGACATACAATTTCCCGGCTTAATTCATCAAATGATCTATCAATATTTGTAACAGAGCAAGGAGAGGGTGACATCTACTATTAGCATATTTGTCACTTTTGAAACTTTTGTCTCAGCCATGCCATCAGATCCAGTTTTGTCAACTTGAACCCCCTGCAGCACAGAGTAGATATAGTTGGGCAAATGGCAAATAATCACCATAACAAAAGGAAAAAAAATCTGTCTTTATTTAGCTAGGCCTAGACTAGATTCCTTCATTTTGTAATTGATTCCATCCATCAAAAGGAGGGTAGTTCTGGATTATGGGAATCTTTGAAGAAAGATTCTTGGGGGAAAATACTGAAAATGTAAAATCTTAATGTAGATTTAAGATAAACATACCCCATCCTCGGAGAGATAACTATCTGGACAAAAAAGCCATCTTCACTTTCTTCACCATCACCTCTAGCACATTCTTCGTCTAAACTTTCAACTTCATCTTTATCACAATCTGATAGGCATTCACCAGGTTCCTCCTGTGATATCAATTTATCAGTAAAGAGAGCCAAAATCAAATAAAATGAGATGCTCAATAAAGCAGAAATACATCTTCCCACTCCTCATCACTGTCGATCTCATAATCCAACTCCGGATCCTTCATGAAAGGGCAACATGGTCTAATAGCTTCACTAGTAAGAAGAAAACGATAAATACATGAGATCAGAGCAACTCTTGGCAAGATCAGTATAACAACTCATGTAATCAAAAGCAACATTTAAAGTAACAAAGTTGCAAGTTCAATTTATCTTCATTTTTATCAGATAACTGTCAAACCATCATCAAAATGACAGTTAAATATAATGCTTTGATGGTAAAGGCCCTATGCATCTAAAATTCACAAACAATTAAGCACTAAGATAGCAAGTTCCACCGTGTTCAATCATGTCATAATCAATAAAGCAAAAATAGATATGGAACTTTTTATGCACCAGCAGAGAAATAAGGAGAAGAATCCAAGAAATTGTTCCAAGTAAGAGAAAAGCTCAATAAGATTTCACTGATATTTCATTTAGGAGCACTACCATGTGTAAACTTCTCAACAGTCACAGTCAAATAAAGTGGTAATAAGATAAGAAAACTTTTGTTTAAGCTTCCTGCTTCGAGCTTGGTGAAACTTTTGTCTCAGCCATGCCATCGCTCTTTGTCTCCTTCTCAGCCCTTTAGAAGTTAAAGAAATTGATTAAAATTTTTGGAATTCAAGCATACAAAATACCATAACATGACAGCTGCTAATACACACATTTCAGCACCGCTTTTTTGTTCAATGTTGTCTACTAATAAACGTATATCTGCTTCAGTTAAGACTTTACAAAGCTTTTCTGAAGCTTTCATCAGCTCTTTGCTGCAATTTCCATGACTTTCTGATTTATCTAGAGAAGCTAACATTGCTGGGAAAATCAAAAGAAAGCATTATGTTAATAAACAGAAGCTGAAGCAATAATCAATAATCACCAAAATATAATTGGGTTTGGTTTGAACTTCTGCATTCTGTTCCCACATCTACCATAAGGCACTGCTACATGCTGAAGTCAATTCTCTATTTTCCCTAACAACAAACTCTCTTTCTTATTTAAAATTTAAATTAGTTTACTTAACAAGACATCCAAATTATAATTGTCTATAGAAAATCCCATTAAATCCCTCTTATCTGCCCCATCTTTGCTACAAAAGAAAAAAGAAAGAAGAAGCTCATTTAGTGCAAGGCCAATATGATGAAGCCAATTCTCTAATTTCTCTAAACATCAACTATTTTTTCATTTTCGGAATAAATATTAAATCATACTGAATGGAAAGGGATCTAGAGTCCATGAGATCCCTCTAATCAACCACATCTTTGCTACCCAAAGAAAAAAGATAGAAGCCCGTCTTCCCCACTGCATCACTATCATTGCAGTCACCACATCAAGTGTCAACAAACTATATAAACAGGATAACAACTGTAGAATGGGCTATTCAAATCATACATCTTCAGTATAAACACAAAATTCAAAAATCAATTTCTTTGCCTTTCGACTATACAAATATATATGTTGTCTAACAATGATTAGCATCACTAATCAATACTTAACCCTAATCAATAATAACAATAATAATACAGTAAAGCCTAAGTGTATACTGTAGACTAGAAATTACCTACCGTGCTGCGAAGGGGAAGGCGCCGGAGGTGGCGATGGCTGCTTGCGACGAACGAACGAAGCTGTGTGGCGAACTGGGAAAATGGCGATTGATGTCTGGAGGTGGTGGCGGTCTGGAAGCGGCGACGGCGGCTTGCGAGTTGCGACAATCTGAAGGAAGAGGCGATGACTAGGTCAGGGCGTCTGCCGGCTTAGGAAAACAATTAGGGGAGGTGGAAAGAGAAGAGAGAAGAAGATCTGAAGATGTGTGGTTGTAAAATCTAATGTACAAGAATGGCGCCTAAAGAATAAAATTTTGGTGGGAATTTCATTTTATTGAAATAATTTTCATACCAAAGAGATAATTGTTTTTTTAATGGCGCCAGAGGTTACAAATTTTGCCGCACAATAATTTTACATTTTCTGACGCTTTATACTAAAATTAATTTTTAAAATAAAACATTTAGGGACGTTTATTATAAAACATCATTGATTCTATACATTTACTGACAAAAAAATTATATTTCTTCAGCAAATATTACAAAAAAATTTTACTGCCTCTACCATAATATATAGTGACGTTATTTTTAATATAACGTCGCAAATTGTTATATTTAGCGACGCTTTCTAGAGCGTCGTTAAAATTTTTGTCGGGAAATGACAGACTTCTTGTAGTGCACCACGGCACCAATCTCGGCCTTCGCGGTTGAAACCGAAGTGGCCACGAGCTTGCAATCAACCATACCTACCCGTTTTAAAATATCCTTCATGTATCGTTGTTGAGACAGAAACATGCCACCAGACAACGGAATAGTCTCAATACCCAAGAAAAAAGAGGGCACTCCCATATCACGAACTTTAAATTCAAGAGCCAACTTGTCAATAAGATCAGTCACATGAGCCGAATCAGAACCCACAACCAAAATATCATCCACATAAACCAGAAAATATAGACGAGTATTGCCATGTGAATATATAAATAAAGATATATCAGTCTTGGAAGGTGAGAAACCAACAGAAACCAGAAAATCATGCAAACGTGTGAACCAAGCACGGGGAGCTTGCTTAAGCCCATACAAAGAACGTTGAAGGAGACAAACGTGCCCGGGTATCGTTTTGTGTTCATAGCCAAGGGGCTGGCGCATATAAACTGTCTCAGCGAGATTGCCGTTTAGGAAAGCATTGTGTATGTCTAGCTGTCGAATAATCCATCCACGAGAAATAGCTAGGGATAAGAGAAGACGTACGGTAGTCGGTTTAACAACGGGACTAAAGGTCTCAAAGAAATCCTTACCGGCAATCTGATTGAATTCCTTGGCAACTAACTGAGCCTTGTAACGCTCAATCGAACCATCAGCCCTTCTCTTGGTTCTAAACACTCACTTACATCTAACTACGTTCATACCTGATTTAAAGGGAACAAGCCTCCATGTGTTGTTGTGCACCAAGGCATTAAATTCCAAATCCATTGCATCCCGCCATTCAGGAAATTTAACCGCTTGAGTAAAACATGTAGGCTCAGGAGTAACAACAGCAGATAAAGCAACATGATCATGTGGTCCCGAACTTCTCGTATTCATTCCATGAGAGTGAACAGGTGAGGGCGCGGGACGAGACCGACCACGAGGCCGGCCTCTTGGCCGAGGAGTCGGTTGGTCCGTAACTGTCCGCTCGGACCCGGTCACGGGCTCGACAGTAACAGGCAGCTGGCGGTGGTGGTCAGAAGCGGCTATGGGCCTGACAGGAGGGTCACGAGCCGTGACACTAGTCGGATCACCACCAGAAACAATTGGTGCAACACCCCACGGCTCCGGGCGTGGTTTTGGAACCTGCGAATCCACGGAAGCAACAAAAGGAAAGACAGCCTCATCGAATCGCACATGGCGACAGATAAAAACCTTATTAGTGTTAGTGTCTAAACAACGATAGCCACGAAAAGATGGAGGATATCCTAGAAAGACACAAGGGGATGACCGAAACTGTAGTTTGTTGCGATTATAGGGACGCAGATTTGGAAAGCGTAAACACCCAAAAACACGCAGATATGAATAAGATGGAGGAGACCGATGCAAAAGATAATGAGGAGATTTATCAGATAAGGCAGGAGTGGGCATTTTATTGATTAGATAAACCGCAGTTTCAAAAGCATAATCCCAAAAACGAGACGGAACAGAGGATTGAGCCATTAATGCTAGTCCCGTTTCAACAACATGCATATGCTTACGTTCTACCCTGCCATTTTGTTCATGAGTATACGCACAGGATTGTCTGTGCCGAATACCTAAGGACGCAAGAGTGGAACCAAGCTTTTTATATTCTCCTCCTATATAGATTGAAAAGAAATAATCTTGCGAGAAAAGGAACGTTCAACTAGTGACCGAAACTTATCAAATATAGCATACAAATCAGATTTAGCACGCATGGGATAATACCACATATAACGAGTGTAATCATCCACAAACAACACAAAATATTTAAAGCCAGACGCAGAAAGTAATGGCGCAGCGCCCCAAAGGATGCGTACTAGTAGTTTCGACACGAGACAAAGGAAAACGAGAAGATTTTCCTAATTGACAAGAGGAACAGACATTGGGAAGATCACTAGAATTAAATGTACCAACAGACAAAGACGCTAAAATTTTACGTAAGACTCGAGAATGAGGATGCCCCAACCCCATGTGCCAAATGTAAGAGGACCGTGTAGCAAATAATGCAGCAGGGGAAGCAGAAGACGCAGGCCATGTGTAGAGACCCCCAGACGCATGTCCCTTAAAAAGAACCTTCTTGGTCAAAATGTCTTTCACATAGAAACAAAGAGGGTGAAACTCAAAGAAAACATTATTGTCCTTTGCAAAATGCTGGACAGATAATAGAGAAGAAGAGAGACCAGGGACATGCAAAACATCATGTAACTTAAAAGACATAGAGTCAGTAGCTAACGAAGCAGAACCAACATTAACAATAGGCAAACATGTACCATTGCCGACTCGCAGAGTCTCCGGGCCATCATAACTTGTCGCAGAAGTCATCAAAGAAGAACCAGACGTAGCATGATTTGTAGCGCCAGTGTTAGGGAACCACTGATGAGGACCTTTGGAATCACCATTATCACCAGGGATGGCTACATTCGCCTGAGGAGTCGGGGAGGGTGAAAAACGCTGAGAACCCGGAGCCCCTGAATATCGTCGTAAACAATTGGCTCCCGTGTGACCAAAACAATTACAAATTTGACACGGATCATCATAGCGCAAAAAACAATTGGTTCCTGTGTGACCGAAACCTTTACAAATTTGACACGGTTCATCATAGCGCCATAAACAATTAGCTCCCATGTGACCGAAACCTTTACAAATTTGACATGGTTCTGTCGCCGCCGTACAAGTGCTCATTGTAATTATGGAACCACATCAACCAACAATTGTAATTAGCGATACTCTTAAGCGCTAAACCCTAGCTCCATGAGAGAAAACCTGGAAACTGATACCATATGAGAATATAATTTTGTTGTATTCAATCATAATGTCTGAGAGTACAGGGAGCGAATATATAGAGATGCTAGATAGAATCCTAGTCTAACACGAATAATATAGTCCTAGTCTAATATGAATAATAGAGTCCTAATACAAAATACATAGATTAATAAAATTAAAATATCCAAACTCCAAAAGTCCTACAAATATCTAAACTTCCAAAGTTCCAACTTCCAAACATAAATACATAATCATAAAATGTTCAAATATTTAAATGGCACAAGTGTCAAATAGGTCCACCTACTATCTCGAAGTATTCAATTCACTCCACAATCTAAAACATATTGCAATCAGACACACTTACCTCTTAAAATTGTTCAATTTTTTGTGTGCGGAAGATCGGATTGTGGAAGAATTTGTGATGGAGCAGCCGATCGGATTCAATTTGGATTGCATTTGCGGTTAGGGAATTAGAGTTCTGGGAGGTCATCATTTGCAGTGGGATAATATTAATGCAATTCCATTTGATTGTGAGTGGGATAATGATGCGTTATGCCTAAGTGCAGAAGAAGAAGAAATCATCATATCCAGCGTTTTGAGCAAGGGCGGCATCAAATCATCGCAAAATAAGTAGCAGCAGCGGAGTTGGATGAGAAACAGTATGTGGTAGTGCAGAAGCGAGCGTGGGGAAACACGCGGCGGAGATTCGAGATTCGACGAGAGTCCGGAAATCGCTGCAGGAAATCAAGTGCGTCTGTAAGTCTGGGTTGTCTCCGAACAATTGCTTCTCCTGCTGTTGCGATTTGCAAAGATCTGTTTGGCTTGAATTAGAATTTTCTCGCTGTCAACACAGATAGATATAGGAAGTAAATTCCAACTTACCACACACTTACTTTTATTATACTAAAATTACATGTCAGCTGAATTGGCAACTTGGAGGTAATCTGCGAAAAAAACTCACCGAACAATTTTAGGTGGTAAGTCTGTCCAATTACAACATGTTTTAGATGGTGGGATAAATTGAAAATGAGCATATTTGACACTTATGCCTATTTAAATTGTTTCAAACTCCTCCAAATTTAAAGTTAAGTACATTACAAAACAAAATGAACTTCAAATATTCAAATCTTCAATTCTCAACTTTTCAATACTCAAGTACTGGTCTGTAACGCCCTGAGCACTCAATAACCGTTGTGATGTTAGCTGGGCAGGAACGGTGTCGTTTCCACACCTTAGGGCTGTTAGTTGTTATAGAGTTGTTAATAGATATTTCCTTATTCTTAGTATAAATAGGGACTAGGACTGTACTGGATTTCTCATGCTTATTCTTACTCAGAAATTAATACATCTCTTCAACTTCCCTACCTTCTTCTTCACTCAATCTCCCAAGTCTCTGTAGTTCTCCCATTTCTCTTCTATTTCCTTTCCCTATTTCTCTGCTCAATTCTCAGGGTCATTACAAGTGGTATCAGAGCCCTAATCTGGAAACTCAAAACCCTATCCCATTAACCATTGAAGCTAGGTTAGACAAACTTGAAGTCCAGGTAGTGGAGCTGAGCCGCAAACTGGATACGCAATTTCAGTCTGTTCAGGATTCCGTGGAGAAATTGAAGCTTCGAATGGAAGCAGAGTTCTCCAACCTAAAAAAGGAGGTGATGGAGGCTCTAGGTCTTAGCGGATCCACACCTGTGGCGGTGACTCAAACCCCAGGGGTATCTCCAATCAAGGAGCAGATCACCGAGTGTTCTATTCCACAACTCCTTCAAGAATAACAGAAGCAGGATC